GAGAGATAGAGAGATATAGATAAGATAGAGAGAGAGAGAGAGGGAGAAATGTCTCTGGGACGTTAGCTTACAAATGACTTCAACAAAAACCAACTACATCCATGCCAGTGTCTGGTGTAGCCATCTTAGCTCCTGACTCTGGTGACCCCGCCTTGGCCAGCCTCTGTCAACACCCCTACTATCTGTCTCCCTGTCTACACTTCACACCTGGACTGTCCAAAATAATACAAATATGGAAGGAGTTTCCAATCTCCTTAAAACAACAACACCCAATCATATGTCTCTCTCTCTATGTTGTCAGCGTGTGTCTATGTACCTTGACAGAGACAGATCCCTCCAGTTTCTCCATCTCCCCCAGCAGAGCAGAGAGCAGAGAGGATTTCCCTGAGCCAACGTGTCCCACCACAGCTACCAGAGACCCATCTGGGATACGTACACTCAACCTGCAGAAAGAGAGAGAAAGAGAGAGCGAGAGGGATAGAGACAGAGCAACAGAGAGAGAGAGAGGGAGAGGGAGAGGGAGAGAGACAGAGCAACAGAGAGAGAGAGAAAGAGAGAGAGAGGGATTAGAGGGAGAGGGAGAGGATCAGAGCAACAGAAGAGAGAGAGATAGAAAGAGACGAGAGGGAACGCAACAGAGAGAGAGAGAAGAGAGAGAGAGAGGGTAGAGGCGAGAGAGACGAGCAACATAGAGAGAGAGGGAGAGCCGACGAGAGGGATAGAGAAGAGAGGAGAGGAGGACGGAATGAGATGGAGAGAGAGGGATAAAGGGGCAGAGGGAGAGAGAGAGAGATAGAGGGATAGAGAGAGATAGAGGGAGAGGGAGAGATAGAGGGTGGAGGAGTTAGAGGCTGTGTGTATGCATACCATAGTAATAGAATGTGCAGTAAGCCTCCAACTGACATGAAAGTAACAAAGTTAAGAGAGGGGGGTGAATACATAGGACAACCAACGCACACACACACACTTCTTTGAGCCATACCTCTTCAGAATGGGGGCGTCGTTTCTAGACCAGCTGAACACCCCGTCCTCAATGGAGATACTGTCTGAGCCTGGGAACAGAGGAAGATATAAAAAGAGGACAGGAAAGAGAGGAACAGATGAAGATATAAAAAGAGGATATGAGTAGAAAAGAGGATATGAGTAGAAAAGAGTGTTGAAGCCTCATCAAAGACTAACACATCAAACAGCACCTGGTACAGAGGCTGGGATGACCTTTCTGCCTCTCCTGTGTGGGGGTGTGTGTGTGTGTGTGTGTGTGTGTGTGTGAGAGACTCACAGCCCGCTACGGCCCTGCGCTCCACATTGTCCTCCTGCAGTTCCTCATGAGACAGAAACACACACAGACGCTTCATAGAAACACTAGCCTGCAGAGAGATGGAGGGAGGGAGAGAGAGAGAAAGAGACAGAGAGAAAAAAGAGAGAATCAGAGAGAGAGGGGGGAGAGAGAGAGAGAGAGAGAGAGAGAGAGGAGAGAGAGAGAGGAGAGAGGAGAGAGAGAGAGAGGGGAGAGAGAGAGAGGAGAGAGAGAGAGAGAGAGGTAGAGACAGCAGGGAGAGGATGCATATTAGTGATGTGTGGGTTGACTCATAACAGTCCCTGTGGTTATATCCACGGGGCGGATGGGTTTAGGGTCATTAAATATTGTGTGGCTGAAGGGCGGGCGGGTGGGTGGGTTGAATAAATAGAAACAATCCCTTAAAATATGTTTGTGCAATTTCTATCTATAGACTGTATGGAGGTTTTTCTCTCATTATTTGAGGCTATCTGGTATTACTACATAAGCCTAAACTTTGGGACTTAACTGGACACGCGCCAAATAGCCTACACAGCCAATCACCAAATAATGCTTTTGGGAACGGGCAGAAAAAGTTAACGTCAATCCAGTAAAAAGTTAATGTCAATCCACGGAGGCAAAAAGGACAATGTCGATGTTTAATTCAATAAGAGAAAAACTGTGAAAGGAGAGTTGAAGAAAAAAGAGAAGGGAGGACCAGAAAAGTCATGTTTGGGAAAGATTTGGTGAAGGGTTAAAAGAGGATGATATCAGTGCCAGCTATGTTGGGAACCATTGAGGACAGGAAAGAATGAACATCTACCATCTACTTTCCAGCATAACAACTGTGATTTGTTATCTTTGAATACATATATTTTTCTCCCCCTGATTTGCTTTGGGGTCTGTGTTATTGAAGAATAACATCAACTGCTATCAATACTATATTGGACATGATGACTATATATCATTCCATTACTATCAATACTATATTGGACATGATGACTATACAGTGAGGGAAAAAGGTATTTGATCCCCTGCTGATTTTGTACATTTGCCCACTGACAAAGAAATGATCAGTCTATAATTTTAATGGTAGGTTTATTTGAACAGTGAGAGACAGAATAACAACAAAAAAATCCAGAAAAACGCATGACAAAAATGTTATAAATTGATTCGCATTTTAATGAGGGGAATAAGTATTTGACCCCCTCTCAATCAGAAAGATTTCTGACTCCCAGGTGTCTTTTATACAGGTAACGAGCTGAGATTAGGAGCACACTCTTAAAGGGAGTGCTCCTAATCTCAGCTTGTTACCTGTATAAAAGACACCTGTCCACAGAAGCAATCAATCAATCAGATTCCAAACTCTCCACCATGGCCAAGACCAAAGAGCTCTCCAAGGATGTCAGGGACAAGATTGTAGACCTACACAAGGCTGGAATGGGCTACAAGACCATCGCCAAGCAGCTTGGTGAGAAGGTGACAACAGTTGGTGCGATTATTCGCAAATGGAAGAAACACAAAATAACTGTCAATCTCCCTCTGCCTGGGGCTCCATGCAAGATCTCACCTCGTGGAGTTGCAGCCTCGAAACCTTAATGACTTGGAGAAGATCTGCAAAGAGGAGTGGGACAAAATCTTTCCTGAGATGTGTGCAAACCTGGTGGCCAACTACAAGGAACGTCTGACCTCTGTGATTGCCAACAAGGGTTTTGCCACCAAGTACTAAGTCATGTTTTGCAGAGGGGTCAAATACTTATTTGGAAACATCATGCTTTGGGGCTGTTTTTCTGCAAAGGGACCAGGACGACTCAAAATCTCAAGATACATGGCCCCATTCATTCTTTCCTTTACACAGATCAGTCGTCCTGGTCCCTTTGCAGAAAAACAGCCCCAAAGCATGATGTTTCCACCCCCATGCTTCACAGTAGGTATGGTGTTCTTTGGATGCAACTCAGCATTCTTTGTCCTCTAAACACGACAAGTTGAGTTTTTACCAAAAAGTTATATTTTGGTTTCATCTGACCATATGACATTCTCCCAATCCTCTTCTGGATCATCCAAATGCACTCTAGCAAACTTCAGACGGGCCTGGACATGTACTGGCTTAAGCAGGGGGACACATCTGGCACTGCAGGATTTGAGTCCCTGGCGGCGTAGTGTGTTACTGATGGTAGGCTTTGTTACTTTGGTCCCAGCTCTCTGCAGGTCATTCACTAGGTCCCCCCGTGTGGTTCTGGGATTTTTGCTCACCGTTCTTGTGATAATTTTGACCCCACGGTGTGAGATCTTGCGTGGAGCCCCAGATCGAGGGAGATTATCAGTGGTCTTGTATGTCTTCCATTTCCTAATAATTGCTCCCACAGTTGATTTCTTCAAACCAAGCTGCTTACCTATTGGAGTGTGACTGTTTGAGGTTGTGGACAGGTGTCTTTTATACTGATAACAAGTTCAAACAGGTGCCATTAATACAGGTAACGAGTGGAGGACAGAGGAGCCTCTTAAAGAAGAAGTTACAGGTCTGTGAGAGCCAGAAATCTTGCATGTTTGTAGGTGACCAAATACTTATTTTCCACCATAATTTGCAAATAAATTCATTAAATATCCTACAATGTGATTTTCTGGAAAAAAAATCTCAATATTTCTGTCATAGTTGACGTGTACCTATGATGAAAATTACAGGCCTCTCTCATCTTTTTAAGTGGGAGAACTTGCACAATTGGTGGCTGACTAAATACTTTTTTCCCCCACTGTATATCATTCCATTACTATCAATACTATATTGGACATGATGACTACATATCATTCCATTACTATTAATACTATATTGGACATGATGACTATATATATCATTCCATTACTATCAATACTATATTGGACATGGTTTGTAATGATCCTATGATGACAATGATCAACTTCGGTTGATGGATTCATTCATTATTGACCAACTGATTGATTGACAGATTAATTAATTGGCCAATTGAATGACAGATTGACTAATTGATGTATTGATTGATATACCATACTGACCTGCACCACGAGGCTGAATGAATGATTGATCAATATGTTGCCCCAGGTCACCAGCAGCATGGTACAGCTCTGTGTGCTATGGTCTGTAGAACATATGAATCTCTGTGTGTGTGTGTGTGTGTGTGTGTCATAGGCTGGCCAATTCTGATATTCTGCCCAATTATTGGCAAGAGCTGATCTGATTGGTCAAAAGACGAATTAGCTAAAAAAAAAAAATCAGAATTGGTCTGCGTGTGTAAACGCAGCCATAGAGTGATCTGCAGTACAGCCCCATGTAGAGTACCTGGTCCAAACTGCTGATGACCATATTACATTTACATTTTTGTCATTTAGTAGACACTCTTATCCAGAGCGACTTACAGTTAGTGAGTGCATACATTTTTTTCATACTGGCCCCCCGTGGGAATCTAACCCACAACCCTGGCGTTGCAAGTGCCATGCTCTACCAACTGAGCTACACGGGGCCCATCATGCAGACCGTGATAATACACAGCAACTAGCCATTGTCACCTCTCCTTCTGCTACATGTTCATTAATTAATCAACTACACGGAATCTGATTGGTTGGTGTTAATTGGTTAATTGGTTAGTCGACTAACTGTTTACTTAATTAATACATTGTATGATTGATTGATTGATTGATTGAGCGACTGGTAGATTGATTGATTTATAGATTAATACAGTGACTGATTTGATTAAATTGCATATTGATTGATTTGTAGAATGATTATTTTATTGATTGATTGATTGATTTGCTGTCCAGACCTGATCAGCACACCTACCTGGACCATGCTGCTGATGACCATAGGCAGCATGTTGAGGGGGAAACGCAGGATGTTGAACAGAGCCAGAGACACAAACGCCTTCTGAGCATCCAGCACGTTCCTCTCATCTATCATCACATACACTGTGAATGTAGACAGTGCCACCTGGGGGATGGGAGGGGAAATACATGTTATATATCATCATCACATTCACTGAGGGGAGGGTAGAGACAATTATTTTTATTTTATTTTTTTCAGACGCTCTTATCCAGAGCGACTTACAGTTAGTGAGTGCATACATTTTTCATACTGGCCCCCCATGGGAATCGAACCCACAACCCTGGCGTTGCAAGCGCCATGCTCTACCAACTGAGCTACAGGAGGGCTACCAAAGACAATGTTAAATATATTTATGTCAGTAAGATGGGACACAGGTGGACCAAGTGCCCGTGTAAGAGTGAGTGTGCGTGAGTGTGCGTGTGTGTGTGTGTGTGTATGTCTACAGGTCTCTCTAACTCACCAGAAAGGGAGCACAGACCCAGGTAAAGGTGGATATTGCCCCCAGGTAAGCAGCCTTCTTGAGGACACGTAGCTCGCTCTCTCTGATGGCTGACACCTTGTCTTTGAAGGCCAGCTCCCACGCATACAGCTTCAACACCTTTAGGTTCAGGTTCAGGTTTAAGTTCAGGTTTAGGTTCAAGTTCAGGTTTATTAAAAACACCTCGGTACATATTCAGAAACATTGATAAAATGTGATGGCATAGAATCAAGACCTGGGTTTCAAATACTTGAAAAGTGATTGTGTCTGTCTGAGCTTATCTGGCTTAATAAACCCCAAACTGCAAACCCTGCCAATCTGGCACTCCAGGCAGGCTAGAGGAAATGCTCAAAGAATTGGAATCTGAAGTATTTGACCCCAACCCTGACATGCAGAAACATACATAAAATGTGATACAAATTCAAACAGTATATAAACCTTAGGTCAAAAGATATGTGATGTGATAAGATACCTTGATGCCGTTGAGAACCTCATTCATCAGCTTGATGCGGTTGTCTTTACTCTTCATCTGAGCTACCTGGTGATCACAAATCTCTATTACACCTCTATTACACCTCTATTACACCTCTATTACACCTCTATTACACCTCTATTACATGTCTACTACACGTCTATCACACTTATTTTATATATAAAAATACAAAATAAAATATGGCACTAAGACCACAGCAGAAGTTTGGGAACCACTCGGTTAAACCAGGGGCAGCCAGAGGGAAAGTGTGTGTGTGTGTGTGTGTGTGTAAGAAAGGGAAGAGGAGTATAAAATGTAATGTAGAATAAGGGGTCAGAGTGATACCTGGTATGTTGTGAATAAGGGGTCAGAGTGATACCTGGTATGTTGTGAATAAGGGGTCAGAGTGATACCTGGTATGTTGTGAATAAGGGGTCAGAGTGATACCTGGTATTGTGAATAAGGGGTCAGAGTGATACCTGGTATGTTGTGAATAAGGGGTCAGAGTGATACCTGGTATGTTGTGAATAAGGGGTCAGAGTGATACCTGGTATGTTGTGAATAAGGGGTCAGAGTGATACCTGGTATGTTGTGAATAAGGGTCAGAGTGATACCTGGTATGGTATGTTGTTGAATAAGGGGTCAGAGTGATACCTGGTATTATGAATAAGGGGTCAGAGTGATACCTGGTATGTTATGAATAAGGGGTTAGAGTGATACCTGGTATGTTATGAATAAGGGGTCAGAGTGATACCTGGTATGTTATGAATAAGGCTCAGAGTGATAACTGGTATATTATGAATAAGGGGTCAGAGTGATACCTGGTATGTTGTGAATAAGGGGTCAGAGTGATACCTGGTATATTATGAATAAGGGGTCAGAGTGATACCTGGTATATTATGAATAAGGGGTCAGAGTGATACCTGGTATATTATGAATAAGGGGTCAGAGTGATACCTGGTATGTTGTGAATAAGGGGTCAGAATGATACCTGTTATATTATGAATAAAGGGTCAGAGTGATACCTGGTATATTATGAATAAGGGGTCAGAGTGATACCTGGTATATTATGAATAAGGGGTCAGAGTGATACATGGTATATTATGAATAATAATAATAATAATAATATGCCATTTAGCAGACGCTTTTATCCAAAGCGACTTACAGTCATGTGTGCATACATTTTTACGTATGGGTGGTCCCGAAGATCGAACCCACTACCCTGGCGTTACAAGCGCCATGCTCTACCAATTGAGCTACAGAGGACCACATATATTATGAATAAGGGGTTAGAGTGATACCTGGTATATTATGAATAAGGGGTCAGAGTGATACCTGGTATATTATGAATAAGGGGTCATGGTGATACCTGGTATATTATGAATAAGGGGTCAGAGTGATACCTGGTATATTATGAATAAGGGTCAGAGTGATACCTGGTATGTTGTGAATAAGGGGTCAGAATGATACCTGGTATATTATGAATAAAGGGTCAGAATGATACCTGGTATATTATGAATAAGGGGTCAGAGTGATACCTGGTATGTTGTGAATAAGGGGTCAGAATGATACCTGTTATATTATGAATAAAGGGTCAGAGTGATACCTGGTATATTATGAATAAGGGGTCAGAGTGATACCTGGTATATTATGAATAAGGGGTCAGAGTGATACATGGTATATTATGAATAATAATAATAATAATAATATGCCATTTAGCAGACGCTTTTATCCAAAGCGACTTACAGTCATGTGTGCATACATTTTTACGTATGGGTGGTCCCGAAGATCGAACCCACTACCCTGGCGTTACAAGCGCCATGCTCTACCAATTGAGCTACAGAGGACCACATATATTATGAATAAGGGGTTAGAGTGATACCTGGTATATTATGAATAAGGGGTCAGAGTGATACCTGGTATATTATGAATAAGGGGTCATGGTGATACCTGGTATATTATGAATAAGGGGTCAGAGTGATACCTGGTATATTATGAATAAGGGGTCAGAGTGATACCTGGTATGTTGTGAATAAGGGGTCAGAATGATACCTGGTATATTATGAATAAAGGGTCAGAATGATACCTGGTATATTATGAATAAGGGGTCAGAGTGATACCTGGTATGTTATGAATAAGGGGTCAGAGTGATAGCTGGTATATTATGAATAAGGGGTCAGAGTGATACCTGGTATATTATGAATAAGGGGTCAGAGTGATACCTGGTATATTATGAATAAGGGGTCAGAGTGATACCTGGTATATTATGAATAAGGGGTCAGAGTGATACCTGGTATGTTATGAATAAGGGGTCAGAGTGATTCCTGCTATATTATGAATAAGGGGTCAGCATGACACCTGGTATATAATGAATAAGGGGTCATAGTGATACCTGGTATGTTTTGGTCTTCATGGCGATCACACCGTTGATTGGCACCATCAGAACCATTACAGCCACGCCAGCCAGCACCGACGGACCCAGGTTCTACACAGGACATGACATCACAAACCATTGAGAACTTGTTAAGATAACAACAGTCTCTGGTTCGTATGTAACAGAGTTGGATTCAGAACCTCACTCCTTAGCTTGAAATGTGTCTACTAGCGCCATCAAACTGCTATCCAGATCACTCCCTGTCAGTAACAAGTACAGGATGTACAGAGCCAGTATGACCTCTTGGTTTATTTAAAGATCTTTGGTGCGTAACTGCCACAGGAAGTTCAGTGCCAGTATGACCTCTTGGTTTATTTAAAGATCTTTGGTGCGTAACTGCCACAGGAAGTTCAGTGCCAGTATGACCTCATGGTTTATTAAAGATCTTTGGTGCGTACCTGCCACAGGAAGTACAGGGCCAGTATAACCTCTTGGTTTATTAAAGATCTTCGGTGCATACCTGCCACAGGAAGTACAGGGCCAGTATAACCTCTTGGTTTATTAAAGATCTTTGGTGCGTACCTGCCACAGGAAGTACAGGGCCAGTATAACCTCTTGGTTTATTAAAGATTGTTGGTGCGTACCTGCCACAGGAAGTACAGTGCCAGTTTACCTCTTGGTTTATTATATATCTTTGGTGTGTACCTGCCACAGGAAGTACAGGGCCAGTATGACCTGTAGAGGAGCAGACCAGATCATGTTGATGTAGGTGATGAGGTCCATGAAGCGCTGGGCGTCGACCGACATCAGGTTGACGATCTCTCCCACTGTAGACGTACGCCGCGCTGCGTTACTGATCACCAGAGCCTGGGAGAGAGCAGGGTTTAGAGGATAAAAGGTCAGACAGGGGTTAAGTGTCAATGAAGGGTCTACAAAAGTCAGCTCAATCAATCATCGGCAGAATATTGATTGATTGATTAGTACACCTACCATCAGTAGACAGCCCCTACTATAGCGGTGCGGAGCCTCATGCCAAATTAACTCTCAATCAATCACTGATCAAATCAATCAATCACTGATCAAATCTGTCAATCACTGATCAAATCTGTCAATCACTGATCAAATATGTCAATCACTGATCAAATATGTCAATCACTGATCAAATCAATCAATCACTGATCACATCTTTCAATCACTGATCAAATCAATAAATCATTGATCAAATCAATCAATCACTGATCAAATATGTAAATCACTGATACAATATGTAAATCACTGATTAAATCAATCAATCACTGATCACATCTGTCAATCACTGATCAAATCAATCAATCACTGATCAAATCAATCAATCACTGATAAAATATGTCAATCACTGATAAAATATGTCAATCACTGATCAAATCAATCAATCACTGATCAAATCTGTCAATCACTGATCAAATATGTCAATCACTGATCAAATCAATCAATCAATCAGCAGAATATTGATTACCTTCCTGTAGACAGCTCCTACTATAGCAGTGCGTAGCCTCATTCCCGTGACGAAGCAGACATGGAAGTACTTCTGTAGGATGAGGGTCTGGAAGCAGGTACAGACGAACAACAGCGCGGTGTAGAAGTAGCCCTGCCAAGAGGGGGCGCTAGAGTCGTTCACAAACCGGATCAGCAACCTGAGGGGAGAGAGGTCAGGGGTCAAAAGTCAACGATACAGCCAGAGAGACGATGCTAGAGGTCAAATGTCAGTAAGTAGGGACGGCAAGAGAGAGACACAAAAAGGCTCCATTCAAGGGTTCTTCTGAAGTAGTCTGAAACAATAGGACAGTTTGGGGACATCAGAAAACTCACATTTCTAATCATTTTAAGAGCACATGAAAACAGGTCAGAAATCTCTACAGCCTGAAATGACAAGAGAGAAAAAGAGGACTAGTGTTGCACGTTGTACCGAAACTACAGTACTTTTTTGATATTATATCTTGAAAAACAGTCCGGTATTAGAATTACTTACTTTCGGTTCTTCTATCAAATATGTTGCACATTTGGAAATCAACTAAATGTTTTGAACTTATTAGAGAAAAATATAGTTTCTTGTAAGACATGAACAGAATGTATCAGTGGTTCGTATTCCCTGCAACTTTCTGAAGAGGCAACGGCACAGGAATGTCCGTCTGAGTGTGTGGTCCGCGTATTGTCTACCACTTTGTGTAGCCTGGCAGAATCATGATTATTTCCAACAACCCAGTGGGCATTTGTTTTGCAAACTCCATCACGTGTGCTACAGAAACACTGCTAACCTAACTACACTAGGTGCCTGCGCACTTAACCTCGTCCCCAGGCTCGGATTGCTGGCGCATAGAGCCTGGTAACACTGTGGAACTTGAAAAGGATGTGGTTTTAATCAAGGCGGGAGAGGGAAACCACTAGAAGAGAAGAGAAACACCCACAACTACCCCCCACTAGAAGAGAGGAGAGGAGAGGAGAGGAGAGGAGAGGAGAGGAGAGGAGAGGAGAGGAGAGGAGAGGAGAGGAGAGGAGAGGAGAGGAGAGGAGAGGAGGAGAGGAGAGGAGAGGAGAGGAGAGGACCAGACAAGAGCATCTCACCTACCTGAGTATCTCAGGCCCCACAAACATGAGAATGTCCTGGATGATCTTGTAGAGTGAAGAGATGAGGAAGTAGGGTCCGAAGGTGAGACAGAGGGCCCAGAACAGAGAGGGTTCTCTAGTCTTCTGGTGGGTCTTGATAATCAGGATCTCTGACTCCTCTATGGGGACACCCTCCTTCCTCTCTCCCCGAGGAGCCTTCTTAGGGGAGTACAGAGTCTTCTCCTCCGGTCTGGGAGAAAGGAAGGGAGGGGGAAGAGAAGGTGTTATTTAGCTCGTTTTCGTTCTTTGAACAACGTTTTGCTACGGTGTGGCCTAATGAACATGACCTTTTGACCTTGGCTGAGTGCAAACGTGCCAGGATGTACAAGTACTCATGTGCCTGGTGGGTTCTCCTGACCTTTTGACCTTTAGGCACTCGTTGTTCCAGCGTCGTACGAGCTGAGGGACGACCCTCTGGGAGCGGTCCTCTGAGTTCAGACACCACAGATCCTTCTGTTCTAACGGACGCTTATAACCTGTTACTATCATACTGGAGGAGAGGGGGAGGAGGGGGCGGAGGAGAGGAGGAGGAGAGGGGGAGGAGAGGAGGGAGAGGAGAGGGGAGAGAGGAGAGGGGGAGGAGAGGAGAGGGGGGGGGGGGGGAGGAGAGGGGGGAGAGGAGAGGAGAGGGGGGGGAGGAGAGGGGGGAGAGGAGAGGGGAGGAGGAGGAGAGGGGGGAGAGGAGAGGGGAGGAGAGGGGAGAGAGGAGAGGGGAGGAGAGGGGGAGAGGAGAGGGGAGGAGAGGGGAGGAGAGGAGAGGGGGAGAGGAGAGGGGAGGAGAGGGGGAGAGGTGGGGAGAGGAGAGGGGGGAGGAGAGGGGGGAGAGGGGAGAGGGGGGGAGGGGAGAGGGGGAGGAGAGGAGAGGGGGGAGGAGAGGGGAGAGGAGAGGGGAGAGGAGAGGGGGAGGAGAGGGGGGAGAAGAGGAGGGAGAGGATAGGGGGGAGAGGAGAGGGAGAGGAAGATAGAAAGAGAGAGAGAGAGGGGAGCAAGAGAGATGACGGAAGGAAACTGTCAGCACTAACAGTTCCTGTTGAAACAGAAACACATGCCCGCTGTTTCCAGAGGGGGATACTACAACACAGAGTTAATGACTTAACCAGCTAACTTCGATAAACAACCAGAAATAACTATAGATTTTCTAGTTAATTAAGAAAGCTAAACTTAGATGTGTTTTTGGTTGTTGAGTCAATTAGACAATGCCAAAAGTTATTTTAAAATACTTAGGCAAGTTTTAATGTATTTGATTTTCTACACCAAAATGTGTCTAACAGGTTCCCTGCTCACCCAGTGATCCACCAGAAGCTGATTCTGGACAGAAAGGAAGCTCCGATCTCAGGACAGGGATTCTGCACCGGCAGGAGATGGAACACACAGTTAGAAACACACACACACACACCCACACCACACACGGACGGACGGACGGACACACACAAACAAATACAGGCACACACGCGCACCCTTTCTAACTTTCTCTAAACAGTCAACATGTAACATCCACATCTGTGTGTTTTCACCCAACCAGTTACACTGATGTCATATTGATTACTAAACCATGTCCAACCAGTTATACTGATGTCATATTGATTACTAAACCATGTCCAACCAGTTATACTGATGTCATATTGATTACTAAACCATGTCCAACCAGTTATACTGACGTCATATTGATTACTAGACCATGTCCAACCAGTTATACTGATGTCATATTGATTACTAAACCATGTCCAACCAGTGATACTGAAGTCATATTGATTACTAGACCATGTCCAACCAGTGATACTGAAGTCATATTGATTACTAGACCATGTCCAACCAGTTATACTGATGTCATATTGATTACTAGACCATGTCCAACCAGCTATACTGATGTCATATTGATTACTAAACCATGTCCAACCAGTTATACTGACATCATATTGATTACTAGATGATGTTTGATTGATCTGTTAGGTGACTGTTTACACAGACACAGTATATGTTGTTATTGATTTCTGGATTATGTCTGACCAGTGGTGGGATTAGTAGTGGACTATGTCTGACCAGTGGTTGGATCAGTACTGTACTATGTCTGACTCGATTAGTTACTTGTAAAGTAATACATTACATATTGTTTTGTGCGTGCAGGAAACTGTGGGTAGCATTTTTTTGTTACTTGTATAACTTTATGAGCTGGAATGTCTGTCCTGAAAATAGTTTATGTCAGAGACTGTATACAATTTTTGCAATGTGTTCGATAGCATTTAGCTAGCATTCACTGTGGGATTTTACATGTACTTGCTAACCTTCGGATTACAGAGGCTCAGCGGGGTTTGGAAATAGCGCCTCTTGTGTTCAGTGCCGGTATTACCGAATATCCCAGGATGGCACAAAGTCGGTGTGAAGGAAAATCTAGTTCCCTCCCAAGCCTAACGGCAACCATCGAAATCAATAATTCCATGTCTCCTCCTTTGGCTTGATAGCACATAAGTTGTCGCAATTGATCATCAACAACACCGCAGCCATTTGCCAGTGCATTGATCATGAAAGTGAAAGCCTGTCTCTATACAATGCCTTATGATACTGTATCATCTATATGAAGAGGCATAATGCCTTATGATACTGTATCATCTATATGAAGAGGCCTTATGATACTGTTTCATCTATATGAAGAGGCCTTATGATACTGTATCATCTAAATGAAGAGGCCTCATGATACTGTATCATCTATATGAAGAGGCCTTATGATACTGTATCATCTATATGAAGATGCCTTATGATACTGTGTAATCTATATGAAGAGGCCTTAGGAACTGTATCATCTATATGAAGAGGCCTTATGATACTGTATCATATAAATGAAGAGGCATAATGCCTTATGATACTGTATCATCTACAGTGAGGGAAAAAAGTATTTGATCCCCTGCTGATTTTGTACGTTTGCCCACTGACAAAGAAATGATCCGTTTATAATTTTAATGGTAGGTTTATTTGAACAGTGAGAGACAGAATAACAACAAAAAAATCCTGAAAAACGCATGTCAAAAATGTTATAAATTGATTTGCATTTTAATGAGGGAAATAAGTATTTGACCCCTCTGCAAAACATGACTTAGTACTTGGTGGCAAAACCCTTGTTGCCACCAAAAAAACCTTGTTTCTTGTAGTTGGCCGCCAGGTTTGCACACATCTCAGGAGGGATTTTGTCCCACTCCTCTTTGCAGATCTTCTCCAAGTCAATAAGGTTTCGAGGCTGACGTTTGGCAACTCGAACCTTCAGCTCCTTCCACAGATTTTCTATGGGATTAAGGTCTGGAGACTGGCTACTGTATCATCTATATGAAGAGGCCTTATGATACTGTATCATCTATATGAAGAGGCCTTATGATACTGTATCATCTATATGAAGAGGCCTTATGATACTGTATCATCTATATGAAGAGGCCTTATGATACTGTATCATCTAAATGAAGAGGCATACAACATTAGGAGTAGAAGACAAGGCTATTTGATTAATCGTTTCTTGATCATGGATCGTTTGTGGAAATTCATTTCAGAGGGTCTGCTGTCAGAAGTTCCCTCGAGGTGAGAAAGTGACACTAATGAAAAGTAAAGGTAGGAATAGATTGTTTTCTAATAGAAAAATCCCTTTAGCCTACACTGATGTGTCATCCTACACTGATGTGTCATCCTACACTGATGTGTCATCCTACACTGATGTGTCATCCTATACAGATGTGTCATCCTATACTGATGTGTCATCCTATACTGATGTGTCATCCTATACTGATGTGTCATCCTACACTGATGTGTCATCCTATGAAATGGATGTTATGTTACACAGTCTAATATAAACTAAATTTCTGTACAGATTTATTTTCATTCTAAATCTTTCTCTCCAGCCGCCAGTGCGACCACAGCATAGAGACGGTCAGCTAGACGGTGAAGCCCTCTATGGGCTGTTCTATCACAGGAGAGATCAATAGCAAAGATCAGAGGTGCGCACTCTATCCATTTTTATGGACCGCTGTCATGACATTTCTCCAAACAGCCTTTCTCCACTCGCTCAAGAATTATTGAGGAAACAAGTTGAGATCGGATCGTAGAAATACCACGCGTGTTACTAGAAAAAGTTACTGGAATAATATTCCAATATTTGAACACAGTAACTCGTAATATTATTTAATTACTCATAAAAGTAATATAACAGTGAAAGACGTTACCCCCAACACTGTGTCTTATACACACACACAGACAGAACACACACTGTATCTATGTTGTTATTGATCTCTGGACTGTCTGACTGTTAGTTCCATTGTGGGACTGTTAACAGGGAAACCTGTATCCATGTTGTTATTGATCTCTGGACTGTCTGACTGTTAGTTCCATTGTGGGAGTGGAACAATAACACAAGAGAACCAATCCTGGGAACTGGAAAACCTGCGGCTTGCACAATAACACACACAGCTGGCATTCACTTGACACACACATCAAGACCCACACATTTCTCACAGTCACACAACATTTACTGTTTGACACAGCAAGTACTCACACAAGCCCACACACAGCTAAACACACACCCGGCTAAACACACACACAGCATGCAGTGATTTACACAAACACAGTGTGTGGACACACAGAGACATAACAAAAACACCCGGAGAGACAGACTGTGTGCTCACGGTGTCTCTGGACGCCTCTGAGAAGAGAGGAGGCTGGTCTGAGAGGGCTGACAGGAACAGAGAGATTAGCAGTAGAGTGTAGTAGCTGTAGAAAGTTGTGTATCTGAACACACACACCGTCCATGGCTGGGGGGAAACACGTGAAAACACTCCATTAAATAAACCTTATTTCTTCCATATCTTTGTTCCATCAAGTCTGATGACAGTTTTTCTGGCAATAAAAAAAGACTGGACTGATGTGGACAAAAATCCATATCGCGTTAAATTCACAATTTTTTTTGCAATAACTATAAATCAGTGATCATTTACACTAAATCATTTTTTGAGGGAGGTGCTAAAGCTGGGCGATGTGGACATAAAGTCATATTACGAAAAATGTAACTATTTTTCCTCAATAACAAGAAATACTTTTTTTTTTATGGACAGTTACTTTACATCAACAGCAAGGCTCTAGACATTTGTTTCCAGTGCCAAGTAAGACAACAGATGGTAGCCTACGATTTAAAAAGTATAATGCTATTTCAACCAACATATGTCGGTAATTCTGGGTCTCTCTCGCTCTCTCTCTCTCTCACCTCGTTGATGGCTTGTATGATCTTGGATCTGAATGTGATGGTAGCACAGAGGACGGCCACCAGCCAGAAGTTGAGCATCACCCCTGAAGACTGGACTCCTTTTAACCTCTCATACTGGGTCAGGAGGGTGGCCAAAAGCTGGGGAGAGAACACACACACACACATTAGAACAACATACACACTAGGACAGACACATACACATAGATCACGTACATCCCCTTCAGATCGGAGACCACTTGTGAGCGCACACACACGTTTAATATTACGCATTTCATCCTCGCCGGAATTGAACCCGCGACCTTGCCGTTGCTAGCGCCCAACTCTTACCAACACGTATTAATCACGCCCAGGTTTAAATCCCACTATAAAAACCACTCATCCTACTGATTACATTATAGGCGACCGCTCCTCCCAGCTAAGACCCTTACAGGTCGACCGCTCCCCCCAGATAACACCCTTACAGGTCGACCAATCCCCCCCAGCTAAGACCCTTACAGGTCAACCGCTCCCCCCAGATAAGACCCTTACAGGTCGACCACTCCCCCCAGATAAGACCCTTACAGGTCGACTGCTCCCCCCAGATAAGACCCTTACAGGTCGACTGCTCCCCCCAGCTAAGGCCCTTACAGGCCAACAGCTCCCCCCCAGATAAGACCCTTACAGGTCGACCGCTCCCCCCAGCTAATACCCTTACAGGTCGACCGCTCCCCCCAGCTAAGACCCTTACAGGTCGACCGCTCCCCCCAGCTAAGACCCTTACAGGTCGACCGCTCCCCCCAGCTAAGACCCTTACAGGCCGACCACTCCCCCCAGCTAAGGCACTTTTGATCCAGAAAAGCCCACAGTGTTGGTTTTTACCATAGTGATGCCGAGCATGGTGGGGCTGACCAGATAAACAGGTGCCTGGGTGGAGGAGGAGGCACTGCTGTCATGTTGGCTTCTTTCCCAGAAAGAGTAGAACACATCTGCCCAGCAGACGACCCACAGGAGAAAACCTACTGCCTGGAGGAGAGGAGAGGGGGAGGTGGGGGAGGTGGAGAAGAATACTTTATTGTGCATTTTATTTTTTTCAGATCATGGAAATTCATATTTTGCTTTAAACCCAACTCCCGGAGAAACACATGCACCTACACACACACACACACACACACAAAACATCACCGGCCGGCCGCAGGTCAGTGACCCTGGAGCAGCTTAGGGGTCAAGTTGAAGTGCCACAACGGCAGGAGGCATCTACTTTTGCCCAGAGCCTTTCTGACCAGAGCCCTATGGGTGCATGAAATAGGGAATAGTGTGCCATTTGGGATGCAGCTGAAGAAAGAGGAAGGGGAATTGGGATCTTTAGGTCATTTGTGTGAGGATGTTGTCACGTCTGACATTCTCCCACACAGAGAAGCCTGTGTTCTGAAAAGAAAACCCCTGGTTGTTAAGCGAGAGAGAGTGTGTGTGTGTGTGTGTGTGTGTTAGCTTGCTATATATGTTTCTTTGGGTTAAAACAAACCGTATTGGTCTTATCTCATTGTAAGAACCGCTGAGACAGGCAGAGACAGATAACACATACGCTTACACATACATAAGCATATGGACACGTACACACACCACGCCCCCAGACTCTCCCTGTAAACACACACACCCCACCCCCCCAGTCTCTCCCTGTAAACACACACACACCACCCCTAATGCCCACAACCCCACCCCTACTCCCCATAACCCCACCCCTAATCCCCATAACCCCACCCCTAATCCCCCATAACCCCACCCCTACTCCCCATAAACACACATATCAACCACCTACCTCCATCCCCCCCACCCCCATACCCCTCCCCCCCATCTGGACTCACGGTTTTGGCTCTGTTGAGGTGGGTCATGCATATGTACCCCCGGTCATGGCTTTTGAGGTACAGGAAATAGATTGGGGCACAGAGCCAGAGGTAGAGACAGGGGACCCATACCAGCACTGTGTTCTGAAAGCAGTGGGTCAGGTCTGGGTTCCCCGCGTGCCACGTACGGTTCCAATCCTGGGGGGGGGGGGGGGGTTAAATGACAGATGACTGAGAGACACTACAGCTAATTCAAAATAGCGTTGATAAGGACATGGTGACCAAAGCAGAAAGAGACTGGCAACCAGACAGGGCAGGGTAACAAATGACACCCTATGGGCCCTGGGCAAAAGTAGTTGACTATACAGGGAACAGGGTGCCATTTGGGACGCAGCCTCATACTGCTGTGTTCACACAGTGAATTACGACAGGCCTGTTGTTACTAGGGATATAGAGCCTAATACATTCATAAAACAGGCTAGAGTGAAGTGCATCACTGGCCTACACCTTGTGTGTAAACAGACACTTTTATTCACCTAGTGTGTGTGTGTGTGAATGAGGTGTTTCTAACAAAGCCCACATAAACATTCCTGCCTTGGCAGAAAGGAGGAAGTGGAGGCAGGGTGCCAGGTCTGCCACACACACACCTTCCTCTCTCCTTCCTTTCCTAAGCTTTCCTCATTCTGTCTACTTAGCGTTATCGCTTTCTGCTGTATTGTTCGATAACACTTTACCCAAATCCTGAGTTGATAAGGCGTTCACAACACTGACACTGAAATGACACAACATAATGACACGACAACACTGTCACTGACGTAACACTGACACAACACTGACATGACACAACACAACACTGACATGACACAACACTGACACAACACTGACATAACACTGATGTAACACTGACACAACACTGACATAACACTGATGTAACACTGACACAACACTGACATAACACTGACGTAACACTGACGTAACACTGATGTAACACTGACACAACACTGACATAACACTGATGTAACACTGACACAACACTGACATAACACTGACGTAACACTGACGTAACACTGATGTAACACTGACACAACACTGACACAACACTGATGTAACACTGACACAACACTGACATAACACTGACTAACACTGACATAACACTGATGTAACACTGACACAACACTGACACAACACTGACATGACACTGACACAACACTGACGTAACACTGACACAACACTGACACAACACTGACATAACACTGACACAACACTGACACGACACTGACACAACACTGACATGACACAACACTGACACAACACTGACGTAACACTGACATGACACTGACACAACACTGACGTAACACTGACATGACACAACACTGACACAACACTGACATAACACTGATGTAACACTGACACAACACTGACATAACACTGACGTAACACTGACGTAACACTGATGTAACACTGACACAACACTGACACAACACTGACATGACACTGACACAACACTGGCACAACACTGACATAACACTGACACAACACTGACACACACTGACACAACACTGACATGACACAACACTGACACAACACTGACATAACACAACACTGACGTAACATGTTATGGCAGCTGTTTTTACCTGAATCCTGAGTCATACTGTGTATGTGTTCAATAACTCTACTGCTTAATCAGTCTGACCATGGTTGCTAAAGGACAAGCAACTCCATGACCAGTTCAGTGATTTTGGAAAGCACTTGTCTCAATACCCCTTGGCTTCAAGGCAAGCCCTCTTACCCCTTTGGAATTTGTTTGGTTCAATAACTGAGCCAGTGAGCAGACAACAAAGCCCTGTAGAATATAGAAGTGTACAATCACACTACCAAGTCTGTCATAACAGGTTTCAAAGGGTTGTGGGACTGGGTGATGATATCGCATGTTATCATAACTAAGGAAGCCATAGACCTTATTGACAGAATGCATGTTATTAGGCCTAACATAGTCTCTGGGAATTCCATACCCAGGGCAACTGCTGGAACATTGTTACATTGTGGAAGGCAAGACAACCGGTCTGCCTAGTGAGACTAGGCCTAACACTAATTAGACATACACCCTGTTATTAACATTTGGGCAAATGGACCTCTAACACTTCTAGCTAAATTCCTTGGGCTATGATGAGCAAAGCCCTGTCTGGCAAGGCCAGCTGACAGTTTACTTATTAGGCAATTTAGCATGTTATGACCGCACATAGATACAATCTATCTGCATGACATTACATTATGTGTCACTTTAAACATATGTAACTCTTCTAGTCTAGTGTCATAACTTGTTTGGTTGTATTACACATACTACATGATTTGACAATAGGTTTGTAGTTTTTTTTGTAGGTTTCTAGCTAGCTAATGTAATAATAATGTCCTCTATGTTGCTGCTACTCGCAGTGGATGTGTGTACATGTTAAAACAAACAAAGTAATATTGGAACAGCTGATAGACTTGCTGTAGCTTTCACAAGCCTTCTTGTGTTGTGGACCTTGCTAGTAAGAGAGGCTTGCCATCATACCTGGGTGTTATAGCTTGAAAGTTACCTAGCTACATTTAATCGAAACACTTTGCTCTATCATCAACAAAGCAGAGGTAGTGTGAGACTCGAATGAAGCTGTTAGACTAGAGTGAGTTTGAGCCAGCAAGCTAGCAGGTTAGCTAGCATAATAGGAATAAATGGTGTTTATCACTGAAAGCTGTTAAACTAGCTAGCCACAACTTCACAATAAAACGATTGTCGGCTTTTATTGATAGTGCATTTCAAAAGGTATATTACTACCACGTTATTTCAACCTCTTTCACACATTACTAATCAAATTAAGCTTAGCTAGTTAGCTAAAGTCAACACATTCCAACCTGCTATCAACCGGCATAACGACGGCCTTGTAACCTAGCTAGCTACTGTTAGCTAACGCTAGTGTTACCAAAGACAGTACAGTATGTGATATTACCATGCTTAGTTCAGGCAGACACCGTCATTACAAGCAAAGCCGCTAATAGCAAGCTGGAAAACAACTGTCGGCGTCAACATTGTAAGCAGCTAAAGACAGCGAGTTGGCTACTCGGTCGCTACAGTGAAACTTACCCAAAACGGGTCGGAACCGTCCGCACTGCAGAACTTGTCCAAACCCATTCGAGGTTGTTCAAGTTCTCCTCTGATAATTTTGGTTAACGGAGCTACCGCTTTGCTTTGGTTTCATAAGCACACTTCTGTTGGTCCTCCTGTAAACGAGGTAGAAGGTTACCGCTAGGGGACGCTATAACTCAATCTGTGACAGTGCGCTTAACTGTAGTGTGTGTGTGTGGATGTCATTTGTTATTTTATTATGTGGGGGGCCACCGGTGGTGTGCATGCAGGACTATTTAAAACCTTTAGAATAACGTGCGAATGGCACACTTTTCTCTATGGGCCCTGGTCAAAAGTAGTGCACTATATAGGGAATAAGGGGATGTAGCTCAGTTGGTAGAGCATGGTGTTTGCAACGCCAGGGTTGTGGGTTCGTTTCCCACGGGGGGCCAGTATGAAAAAAAAAAATGGAAAAAAAAAATGATAAAAAATAATAAAAAATGATAAAATTAGATTATAAATATTATAAAATATAAAAAAATTATAATGTATGCACTCACTAACTGTAAGTCGCTCTGGATAAGAGCGTCTGCTAAATGACTAAAATGTAAATGTAAATGTAAAAATAAGGTCTTTCTTTAATTTCAGAAAGGAGTGTAGCCTAACTACACGGCCTTCAGAAAGTATTCACACCCCTTGACTTTATCCACATTTTGTTGTGTTACAGCCTGAATTCAAAATGGACTGAGTGTCACTGAACTACACGCAATACCCCATAATGTCAAAGTGGAATTTGGAGACATTTTTACAAAATAAGAAAAAATGTAAAGCTGATATGTCTTGAGTCAATAAGTATAAACCCCTTTTGTTATGGCAAGCCTAAATAAGTTCAGTAGTAAAAATGTGCTTAACAAGTCACATAATAAGTTGTATGGGCTCTTTAAGATCATTTTTAAAATCAAATCAAATCAAAATCAAATCAAATTTTATTGGTCACATGCGCCGAATACAACAGGTGCAGACATTACAGTGAAATGCTTACTTACAGCCCTTAACCAACAGTGCATTTATTTTAAACAAAAAAAAGTAAAAATAAAACAACAACAAAAAAAGTGTTGAGAAAAAAAGAGCAGAAGTAAAATAAAGTGACAGTAGGGAGGCTATATATACAGGGGGGTACCGTTGCAGAGTCAATGTGCGGGGGCACCGGCTAGTTGAGGTAGTTGAGGTAATATGTACATGTGGGTAGAGTTAAAGTGACTATGCATAAATACTTAACAGAGTAGCAGCAGCGTAAAAAGGATGGGGTGGGGGGGCAGTGCAAATAGTCCGGGTAGCCATGATTAGCTGTTCAGGAGTCTTATGGCTTGGGGGTAGAAGCTGTTGAGAAGTCTTTTGGACCTAGACTTGGCACTCCGGTACCGCTTGCCGTGCGGTAGCAGAGAGAACAGTCTATGACTAGGGTGGCTGGAGTCTTTGACAATTTTGAGGGCCTTCCTCTGACACCGCCTGGTATAGAGGTCCTGGATGGCAGGAAGCTTTGCCCCAGTGATGTACTGGGCCGTACGCACTACCTTCTGTAGTGCCTTGCGGTCGGAGGCCAAGCAGTTGCCATACCAGGCGGTGATGCAACCAGTCAGGATGCTCTCGATGGTGCAGCTGTAGAATTTTTTGAGGATCTGAGGACCCATGCCAAATCTTTTTAGTCTCCTGAGGGGGAATAGGCTACCCCATCTCTGTACTTCACACATACAATTATCTGTAAGGTCCCTCAGTCGAGCAGTGAATTTCCAACACAGATTCAATCACAAAGACGAGGGAGGTTTTCCCATGCCTCGCAAAGAAGGGCACCTATTGGTAGATGGGTATGAAAAAAATATATCCCTTTGAGCATGGTGCAGATATTACTTACACTTTGGATGGTGTATCAATACCCCCAGTCACTACAAAGATACAGGCGCCCTTCCTAACTCAGTTGCCAGAGAGGAAGGAAACCGCTCAGGGATTTCACCATGAGGCCAATGGTGACTTTAAAACAGTTACAGAGTTTAATGGATGTGATAGGATAAAACTGTGGAAGGATCAACAATATTGTAGTTACTCCACAATACTAACATAAATGAATGAAAAGAAGGAAGGAATACAAATATTCCAAAACATGCATCCTGTTTGCAATATGGCACTAAAGTAATTCTGCATAAAATGTGGCAAGGAAATGAACTTTTTATCCTAAATACAAAGCGTTGTGTTTGGGGCAAAACCAACACACACACACATCACTGAGTACCACTCTTTATATTTTCAAGCATGGTGGTGGCTGCATCATGTTATGGGTATGCTTGTCATCGGCAAGGACTAGGGATAAAAAGAAACAGAATAGTGCTAAGCACAGGCAAAATCCTAGAGGAAAACGTGGTTCAGTCTGCTCTCCAACAGACAGTCAGAGACAAATTTACCTTTCAGCAGGACAAATACCTAAAACACAAGGCCAAATATACACTGGAGTTGCTTACCAAGATGTTCTTCCACTATTAAATTACAGATTATTTTGTGTAGATCATTGACAAAAACAGATAATTAAACCCATTTGAATCCCACTTTCTGAAGGCACTGTAGATCACCCCCACGTCCTGGCTGCTGTCTCATCCATACAAGGCATAGAATGAGTCCCAAATGGCACCCTATTCCTTACATAGTGCACTACTCGGGTCAAAAGTAGTGCACTATGTAGGGAATAGGGCACCATTTGGGATGTAGCAGACATACCCACTGCTGTCTCATCCTTATAAGGTCCTGTTCCCTTGGGTCAGTTTGATCATTTGAATAACCATACAGAGAGATACCGTGTTGCCCTAGGCCTGGAGACCTACAGAGAAATACCATGTTGATATAGCTTAGTCCTAGGCCTGGAGAGCTACAGAGCGATACCATGTTGATATAGCTTAATCCTAGGCCTGGAGACCTACAGAGAGATACCATGTTGATATAGCTTAGTCCTAGGCCTGGAGAGCTACAGAGAGATACCATGTTGATGTAGCTTACCCTAGCTGGGACTACAGAGAATACCATGTTATATAGCTTAGTCCTAGGGCTGGAGAGTCAGAGAGATACATGTTGATTAGCTAGCCTAGGCCTGGAGAGATACAGAGAGATACCATTTGATGAGCTTAGTCCTAGGCTGGAGAGCTACAGAGTAATGTATCTAGTCCTAGTGGGGGGGGTTGGTTTATAGGGTTCCCTGCTCACCCCGTGGATCCATCCCCAGAAACTTGATTCTGGACAGAATGAGCTCCGATCTCAGGACAGGGATTCGCCCGCAGGATATGGAACACAACGTTAGAAACCACACACAACACCCACCCACACCACACACGATGCACGTACTGACTTACAACACACAAACAACTACAGCAACACAACTCGCACCCTTTCTAACTTTCTCTAACATTCAACATGTACAAATCCACATCTGTGTGTTTTCAAACCCAACCAGGTTACACTTATGTCATATTGATTACTAAACCATGGTCCAACCAGTTTAGACTGATTCATAATTGATTACTAAACCAGTCCAACCAGTTAATACTGATGTCATATGATTACTAAAGAACCCTTGTCCAACCATTAGGTACTGACGTCATATTGAATTACTAGAACCAGTCCACCAGTTTTTTTTATACTGATGTCATTTGATTCCTATTACTAAACCATGTCCAACCCGTGCTACTGAAGTCCATATGATTACTTAGACCAGTTTCCCAACCAGTGGACTACTGAAGTCATAGTGATTACTAGACCATGTTCCAACCAGTTATACTGATGTCATATTTAAATTACTAGACCATGTCCCAACCAGCTTACTGATGTCATATTGATTAACTCTTACTAAAACCATGTCCAACCAGTTTTATAACTAACATCATATTTGATTACTAGATGATGTTTGATTTGATCTGTAGGGTGACTGTTTTACAACAGACACATCTATGTTGTTTATTGATTTCTTTCTGGACTATGTTCTGACCATTGGTGGGATTCGTAGTGGACGTACTATGTCTGACCAGTGGTTGATCATACTGGGGTCACGATGTCTGACTCGATTAGTTACTTGTAAATAATACATTTACATAATTTTTTTGCGTCCAGAGGAAACTGTGGGGTAAAGCATTTTTTTGTTACTGTATAACTTTAGGAAGCTGGATGTCTGTTCCTGAAAATAGATTTATGTCAGAGACTGTATAACAATTTTTTTTTTTTTTGTTTTTTGCAATGTGTTTCGATAGCATTTTCAGCCTTCACTGTGGGATTTTACATTTACTTGCTAACCTTAACCTTCGGGATTAAACAGCGGCTCAAGAGCGTGGTTTTGAAAATAGCGCCTCTTGTTTTCAGTGCCGTTATTTTACCTAATAGTCCCATTATGGCCCAAATCGTTTTTAATGCCCATCTATTTCCCCCCTTCCCAGCCTAACTGCAACCAATCCGAAATCAATATTCCATGTCTCCTCCTTTGGCTTGATAAGCACAAATGGTCGCAATTGATCATCAACAACACCCGCAGCCATTTGGCCAGTGCATTGATCATGAAAGTAAAGCCTGTCTCTATACAATGCCCTTATGATACTGTATCACATCTTTACGAGGCATAATGCCTTATGAGACTGTATCATCTATAGGACGAGGCCTATGATACTGGGTTTTTTCATCTATATGAAGAGGCTTATGATCGTACATCTAAATGAAGAGGCCCATGATACTGTAATTCCTCTAATATGAAGAGGCCGTTGATACTGTATCATCTATATTGAAGATGCCTTAATGATACTGTGTAATCTATTGAGAGGCCTTAGGAACTGTATAATCTATATGAAGAAGGCTATGATACTGTAATCATATAAATGAAGGGCATAATTCCTTATGATACTGTATCATCTACAGTGAGGGAAAATATTTGATCCCCTGCTGATTTTGTTTACTTTGCCCACTGACAAAGAAATGAAATCCGTTTATAATTTTAATGGTAGGTTTTAGTTGAACAGTAAAAGACTATACAAACAAAAAAAAAAAAAAAAAAAGCCTTAAACGCATGTCAAAAATGTTATAAATTGAATTTGCATTTTAAATGAGGGAAATATTTATTTGACCCCTCTCTGCAAAACATTCACTT